AAGCACAGTAAACAAGAGTAAGGTTATTATGCAGATTTAAGGCCTCACCTTCCACATTGATAAGCCTCTAGAAATGAGGCCATCCCCCCGCTTCCCAAAACAGAGAGGGAGATACCTTTACAAATGGAGATTTCCCTTATAAATGTAAATGATTGTCTGGCAGCTCCTGGCAGGGCCATCCAGGGAATGTGGCCAGAGAGACAGAACTTCTGATAAGATGGGCTTGTTGGTGCCTTTTCTATTGTAACCTCTATCCTACATTATCTTTATAGCCATCATGATAGATCTGTTCCAGGAAGGAGCCACCATGTCAAATTCTTTAGGCAGTTAGTGGGGGAGGTCAAATGTCCCTCAGAGAAAACAATCAAGGTAAAGAGATATATTTTAGGATGGCCAAATCTTGATCTCCCACACTTGCCACCTCCAAGGAATAATTTCAGAACATCACAGTTTGGCCCACAACTGACCTTGCTACCTACGCGGAGGCAAGATCTAACTGGACTTGGGATGGGTGTTTGAATCCAAGAATGCGAGTCAATGGGGACACAAGCACACCAGGTTATCATGAGGGAATTTACTGACCGTGCTTCGAGGATCATTTGGCTTCCTTGGGGAAGAATGCGGTGAGCCCCAGGGACAGCCTGGGGGAGCAGGGTGGGGCAGCCCCCACAGACAGAGCTCCAGGCCCTTCACCCCAGGACAGAGTAGAGTAAAGCTGTTATGTTTTAAATACATAGGGGTTCCTAATCAAGTTCCTCATTAAAAGGGGGGATTCTCTGCTAAAATTATATTTGAAAATCCCTGGTGTGACGGGAAAGAAGAGCAGGCTGTGAGAAGGCCCCTCTCTTTGGTATTATTGTCTGTCCACGGTCATGTCCTGTGTGGCCAACAGGCGGTGGACTCCTCAGGGACCAAGAGCCTTTGCCCAAAAGCCTGGACCTCAGGTCAGAAGTCTTGCCTCAGACGCCAGCCAACTACGGGGCTTTGGGCAGGGCATTCACCTTTCTGGGCCCCAGTCTCCCAATCAGTAAAATGGGGATGAGAGTTCCTGGAAGTTAATCTATAAAAGTTGAAACTCACATTTCTGTGATTCCAAGTTAAGGAGCAAAACTTGAGGCCTGGACAGTTTTTAGCTGGGTCATTGCTTAGGGTAAAAGAAGAATTGCTGCTTGAGAAAAAAACGTGACTTTGAGTCTGCTGGGCATTGTAGGGAGAATCGCCTAGTAGTTTAAAGCCCGAGACCTGGGTTCAAATGCAGTTGTTAAATAGAAAGAATACCAGCTACTTATTGCACACCCTTGTGAGAATGAAAGGAGATCAGATGTGTAAAGCACACTTAGAGCAAAGAGAACAAAAAGGCAGAGTGTATCAGAGTTCTTATATCACTCTTGTCACCATTTACGGCTCCTTGGCAAGTGTGAAACAGGCCATTGTGCATTCCCACAGTGGGGGAGGGCAGTGATAAATGTGCAAGGCTGGTGACATGGGGTTTTCCTACTCAGAATCTGCAGAGGATTTGGCAAGACCAGGCGTTCCCCTCTCCACGTCCTTTTTCTGTTCCTCAGGCATCTCTTTGAATGGATCACTTTCCTCCACAGCGTTCCAACATCTGGGGCCACCTCCCAGGACTCCCCAGCCGCTCCCACCCAGGTCTCTAACCTTTCCTCTGGGCTCCAGCTGGGCTCCTCTCCTTGATGCTCTCTGCTCACCCCAAATACCTCCCCATCCGCTCCTTTCCCCTGCGATTCCCCCTGCCTACAACTGCCCTCTTTCCTCCTCTGCTTGTCCATGTCACACTCATTTTTCAAAACCAGACCAAACTCCATGACCTTTAGGAAGCCATCACCTATGGGCTTCCAATTCCAATGGCAGTTAAAAAAAAATC